ATTTGCACCACCTGATAGTACAGAGGAAAAGTGCTTCCACCAGCATCTTTCAGCCTGTTTTGTTTCATAAAGGGCCTTCTCAAGAGTAGGACTAAGTTTGGTCTTTACATGATGATTCCTTCAGCAGGTTGGACATAGATTTCTTTGCCAATGGGACTATGTGGGTAGGCTGGTATAACATCAAATCCTTGTATGTACTATCATTCATTAAATGGCACTGAAAATTTTAATGAGGTAAAACACACTGTTGGCACAAAATTTTCCAAAAAGTCAATTCCCTTCCGTTGAGTGAAACCCCTAACCACAAACCTAGCCTTTCTCTTTAATAAATTTCCATCAGCATCTGTCTTTTCAGCAAATACCCATTACACAGCACTGCAGACATTATTCGGGTTCCCCAAGTGGGCAGGGAAAAATGATTGGGAGTATGATTTGTCATAAAATGGTCTATCACTCCACACCTGAGCCATAACACCCACACTACATATGTGTAGCAGGCTCAGTGAATATGTGGTTATCATGTACATACAGTTCTGCTCAGTTATCTGCTCATCAGGACAAGTTATTCATATGTAATACATGCTGTAACTTCTTTCAGATTGAAAAAAGCTTCCAAAAGATTGACTACATACACTGACTCAATGTTTTGGTGTGATCTCATCAACTCAACTGCATGTAACACACTTTCTGTTACTAAGACATAGCTTCAACAATATTGCCTGAGCAGCTACAGAATTATATGTAGTGAATTTTTGGGAAAAAAATTTCAAAGTCGAAAAAGTTACATGTGGTATAACATGTGATTTATTTATTCTGATGGGCAAAAAACTGAGCAGACCTGTATGTACATGATAGACAACTATTGACTTAGCTTGCTGCACATATGTAGTGTGGGTGAAATGGCCCAGGTGTGCAGTATTAGATTCTTTTATGAAAAACTGTACTATTAATCATTTTCCTCTGCCAAATTGGGGAAGTTGAATGATGTTTACAGTGCAGTCTTCTGCCCCTCTGGTAAGACAGCCTCCTCCCACACATTCAATCTTGTCAATACCTCAATTTCCTTTCTACACACCTCCTCCCAATTGTCACTGTGTTCTCCATTAACAGCCTCCTGGTAACTATTGGGAAGTCAAAAAGCAGTCCCTGCTGCTTTTGCTTGTAGGATTTGAATATCTATGTCTTGATTTCAAATTGTCTCTGTAAAGGATTTGTTGTCAAGGATATAGTCAACACTAAGCAATTCAATGAACTTCTGTAAGTCTCTGTGTGCTTGTAAACTATTGTTGGATAGGAGGATTGTGTTTAAAGAAGGTGTGTTGTTGGTGGATGTAGGATCTTCAACAGGATTGATCATAGTAGGTAATGTCTTCTTGTTGAGCCATCTAGCATGAGTGGAGTCAATAAATTCATCAGTCAAAGGATTCCAGAACCTCCACCGCCCCCTGCTGGATTCTACATAGCCTACAAAACAGCATTTTACAGCACAAATGGCGGTTTCTTTCTCTTTGAGACCAAAATTTGGGCAAAAGAACAACTACCAAAGATCATTAGATGGTTGAATTGTGGGGCAAAACCAAAGAATAGCTCTGTCAGAGTTTTGGACCCGCTGTTGGAGTTGGGTGCTTTGTTATGGAGGTCTGTAGCTGTGATGAGGGTGAATCCCCAGAAGCAACATGCTAAGCTGAAGTCCCTGAGTAATACTTGAATATGTACCATCCTGAACCATGTGATTTGCACATTTGATAGATCTGTTCTGCTTGTCCATCGGTACACTAGTGAATTAACCTTTTCTTGTGTGTTGCTCAGCTTCTGCAAAAAACATCTTGATGTGATTGGCAGCCTCACCTTTGGATTTGAGTAAGTATGTTCCCATGAATGTAGAGTACATCTGTAATCTCCAGTGAGTACTTGTATCCTGATACTGTCTTGACAGGAAAAGGGCCACATAAGTCCGCTACTACCAGTTGCAAAGCTTGGTTGTAAGAGACAAGTGATGGTCCAATTGTTGAAGTTTTTGTCAATTTCAAAATCACACAATCTTTGCACAAAGTAGTCTTAGTCAGTTTTTCAGGCAATACAACACAAGATTGATCACAAATGAGCTTGATAAGAGTGTGGTCTTTTGGATGACCAAGGCTTGTTGATGTCTTTGATACCAATCTCTTTGGTAACATCCACTAGTTTTTGTCTTGATTTGGGCAGTTTTGATACCTTGTCCGTTGGTAATATGCTGTTTTTTGTGGTTTCACCTCTGTGACTCAAGGTGAGCTCCAGCCAATATCTGGTGTGTTCAGGTCATTCCAACAACTGAACCACCAGACGAGATTTCTATCAGGGCCCCGTCAGAGGAAATCTGATTGGATTTTTTTTAACCAAAACTCTCATCAAACACTCAACCCAATAACCTGCAGATATCCGGTGATATGGCTGGAAACTCCCTGTACCCCCTTTTTTTTGGCTCTTTATACATATTTATATCATACAGTATACACCTTTTTTCTATCCTCCCCACCACCACCATTCACAATTCCACGATTTCATTTGACAATTGATAAGTTGATCATACCTTCCTATCACCAGTAAACTCAAACTCTAACAGATATGCCTAAGTCCAAAGCAGTGTTTTGGTTGGGGGGCAAATACTGATGCAGGGTCCCAAGCTGACCACTCCAAAATCCAAACTGATACAACTGCTACTGCTTGTCCGACAAGCTACATATGGAGGTACTTTAGAAAAATACCAAATGAAGAAATCAATCAGTGTCAATTTGTAACGGCCAATGGAAGCAAATGTGGTAAGAAGTTGTCTTGTGATAAGAAGTCAAGTACAAACTTGATGAAAACCCACCTCAAGGAAAGCATGGCATCTGTGATGGCCATCCGTCTGATCAAGGAAACCTAGAAGCCGTTTTCAAGAAGGTCAAGATGGGTCATTTAGTGAGTGATTGATCATCTTACTGTCATCTCATTGTAATAAGCTTTTTTCTAACTTTATATATGATTTAATGAAACAAACTCAACATTGCCAGCCTCAAGACTAGTATCTGTTATCTGATAGCCAATAACGACCTCACCATTTCTCTTGTGAACAAACCCTCCTTTCAAAGGCTTTTAACTCTCTTTAATCCTCACGTACATGGAATGCTTCTCAAAAGGCACACAATTGCTAAACAAATGTGCAAGTTATCACTGTGTCCTTGTGGCAATTGTCCAACAACAGGTGCACATGGAC